TATATATATATATATATAGTTTTTGTTGGTGAATTTTTTTTTAACAAGTTTAGCCATTTATGTTCAAAGAAGTATATGTTAACTATAATACGATATAATTTTAAATACTACGTATACATATAATTTATGTACGAAATTTATTAATTTAATTTAATAATTTATAAATTAATATCGCTTAAAAAGGTTTAAATTGTCTTTATAATATATCACTTTTAATTTTAGTCTTTATAATTTTTTTTATAAAACAGTCTTTGTAAAACTATTTATTTTTATTTTTCTCATTAGCTTTATTTTCATGTTCGTAATATTTATATTTTCCATTTTATTTCTACAATATTTTTTATTATTATTTTGAAATAGTCCATTTGAAAAAAAAAAGAGAGTAGATATTAAGAATAAATTATTCACATATTATAAGAATAAGAATAAAATAAGTATATTATGAGATTTTTTGTCTCTATAATATTATACCACTTTTAGTTTTAGTCTTTGTAATTTTTTTAAAACAGTATTTGTAAATTTATTTATTTTTATTTTCATATTTGTAGTATTTTTATTTTTCATTTTAGTTTCTAATATATATATTTTTATTTTGAAATAGTCCATTTAAAAAAAATAGATATTAAAAACAAATTGTTCACATATTATAAGAGTAAAAATAAAAATAAGTATATCATGAGAACCGGAAAATTAATAAGAATCAAAATTTTAAAAAATGAAAATTTTATGAGAAATATTTTTAAAACAATAAATTTATAAGGACCAATATATATATTACATAATCAAAAATATATTTAAATCTTTAATTGAAGTGAAAATTTTACTTTAACAATTTAACTGGTCTTGAATAATCTAAAAATTTCGTATTCACTTGTAATTCACATATTTCATATTTCGTACTTCACTTATATTTTATATTTCGCATTAACATCTACAACTTATCTCAAAGTGAGATATATATATTTTTTTTTCAAATACACTACTTTAATAAATTAGTTGTAGAATTCTTTACTGTTGTAAAAAAATCTCAATTTTTATACTGTTCAAAGTATTTACTAATCGAGAATTAGATACTAATGTTTTAAGGTACGTGGAACATTTTGTGTAATTTTTTTTTTATTGAGTGTAGAGGTAGATTGTTACCTGTCAACTGAATAGAATTCATCTACCAAATTAATTGTCTGCCAAAATAATTCATCCCGAAACATGGGACCATTAAAGGTTCTCAGAACTTAAATCAAATTTGAGCAAGAAAGTGACAAGATAGTAAAGACATTGTATATACCTTTAGTCTTAACAAAATAGACAATCCAATCATTTTTCTTTTTATTTTTCTTCTTTTTCCATTTTTTAAATCTTCCTACAAGGAAAAAAAAAGCCCCTTGATGTTATTAAAGTGCAATGATAATATTAATAATAAATATATAAAATTGCATAATAATAATAATAATAATAATAATAAATAATAATAATAATAATAATAATAATAAATAAATAAATAGATAAAAACTCATATAAATACACACCGAATCTTTTAATAAAGTTCCGTATATTATATTCATTTAGTAAGCTGGTCAAATCTAAAATATATAAATGGGTACTCTCGTAATTACCTTCGCTCTTCATATTTATTATGAAAGTCTTTTATTCTTACAAACCAAATAGGTTAGTGATTTATAATCACTTTAAATTATTAATTATCTATTTTATTATTTAGTTTCAATTCTTTAGTTTTATTTTAAATTTTTAAATAAAATATAAAGATACGAGATATCCGACTCCACTAATATACATATAAAAAGGGATATATAAATTTATAACCATTTTTTTATCTTTATATTTTTTAAAATAATTTTACTCTTAAATATTTAAATAATAAAAAATAATATTTAAAATCAACAATCTGTATAATCATTCAAATAAATTAACTACTGTTGACCATTCAAATTTAATCACTTTTATTACTTAACCTCAATTTTTATTTTACTTAAAATTTTTAAAATAAAATATAGAAAATAAAGCAGAAACTAACCCTCTTAAAAAAATTTAATTAATATACACGAATTTTGGATAAGGCCATTTCTTCCAGCGAATCAAAACACGTTACTACACACCAAGTCACATGCAGTGAAAAATAAGATATATATTTTTAAAATATTCTGAAAGTTCGTATGAATATAATATTTTATTTTTAACCCCCAAAAAGTGTTTTTTTGTTCTACAGTTTCACTACCTGGTTTGAACTTTGGTTGTTAGTGTGACTCAAGGACGGAGCCAAGGGGGGACCTACGGGTGCCACGGCCCCCCCAACAATTTTAATTTTTTTTTATATTTTTTTTTATATGCTTTTGATACTTTAATTTTCATTTATTATAAATTATATATTATTTATTCTCGGCCCCCAGTATTGAAATCCTGGCTCCGTCCCTGGACTGTGACTTGCCATTAAAAAATATATTTTATGTATAAAAATATAACAATTTTTTTAATCCCATAAACATAAAAATAATTACGTTTAATCTATGTGACATGAAAAGTGAATTTCGTTGGATCTGCCACCAGAACCAAAATGGGCGATAATAAATACTCCAGAGATTAAAAAAGTTAAAAAAAAAATCAAAACTAAAAATAGACTGTACTATATTCATATGAAACACGTAAAAATTTATCCTATCGCTTCATACAATAAACAAGTATCCAACTTGCTAGTTTTCACCCAAGACACGAGAAATTAATAGAATAAAACTATATATTCAATAATATTAAGTACCTTAAAAATGAAGAGAGAAATACATTAATATACATTATGAACATATATATATCAAGGAGTGAGAAGAAGAAGAAGAAGAAGGTATTGTGAGACGATGATAAAAGATGTGAAAGTTAGAAGAAATGGATGGATGAATGAAGAAGATGGTCATGTGTAAGACTTGAGAGTGGCTCCACAAAAAGTGCATATAATAGCTTTCCATGATTTGGAGTAAAAGGGCACATAGCAAAATCTGGTTTGTGTCATCATATCGGCCACGCTGGCGCCGCCGCCGCACCGCGAGCATGTCCCCGCCGCCGGCTTGCTCCGCCGCACCTTCCTCCTCTGATCCACAAGAAAACAGAAGCAAACCATGTCCAACGTTGAACCTTGCTTTTTCACGATGACCAAGGTTGTTATTTATATTTAATTATTTATAGAACGGGAGCGATGTTGTTGGATTGGATGGAGGACGCGTGTCAAAGAGAGAGTGGGTGGATGCATGACGCGTGTCTCGCCTTTTCGGTTGAATAACTTCAAGAGTGTGTAAATGAGAGTGAATGCAATGCCATGGAACTTGTATGAATGATACTATTCATTATTCAAGAGTGAATGCACCTTGCAAGAGTTGCTCCATGCTAGTAATTAATGACTCCGTACAACGTATCGGAAGATTTTTCTTAAACCAGATAAAGTTTTTTTTTTTTTTTTTTTCATTTTAATTGTCAACTTTTTAAGTTTAAGAGGATATTAATTATTTATTTTTCAAATTGTTGTTAGATTCTGTTTTTCTTTCCTGCTTTTTGTCTTTTAAGTTCCCATTAAAAAAAAGTATGCCTTTTGATGGAAAAAAATGAAAATAGAAAATATGGTTGCATTTATTAATTTGTGTATAAAAACTTTAATGACACTCGAAAAGGAATGGAAATTAATAAGAAAACAAAGTAAGTTTTATAGATTTACTTAACTTGATATAATGACTGCTACCCTAGAAACAAATTTCACTTAACATGATGTGCCAACTCCTTTGTTTACAACACAATGTGTTTGAATTCATGCATTTGGAGACCAAAATATGTGGAGTTTCATGAGTAGTGTCATAAGTACACAAAGTATAAGACTCAAGACTCAAGCTTCCGATCCTTATATAGAATACATACGTTTAATTCATTAGCAGAGACCTAATTTTTTAAACTCATAATTCAAGGAGAATCTCCAATCGTTCAACATGCGGGACTAACCTTTATGTTGTGTTTGGATAAGTCATTTCTAAAATTTAAGGAATTTCAATTACTAAGTATTTGAATTACTCTCAATTGGGACACCGACATAGCGGTTATAACAGCACCACAATAGTGGCCATACACAATATACAGCTCAGCAATATACAGCACAACCAAACAGCTCACAGCACAGCACAGCAAATCAGCATACAACACAGCTAAGTAGTATTCAACACAGCTTACTACTCACAACTTAGCTCAGCACGGCAATATACATCTATTTCAGCATAGTTCAGCATATCAAGTCAATATCATCAGACGCGCCTGGAGAACTCATGGTCGCGCCTAGCGCGGCTCAACCAGAAAGCACCAGGGACCAGCGCGCCTGGCGCAAGATTGCTCGCGCCCGGCATGACCCAGCCAGAGAGTCCAAGACTCTCACGCGCCTAGCGCAATTCAGATTGCGCCCAGCGCATGCTCAGGCAGAGACTCCATGGAGTCTCACGCGCCTAGCGTTCCTAGTGTGAGACCCTCAGTCTTTCCCCTCTCTCCCTCTCAACATTTCACTAGTAGCCTTCCTTCTTCCTCTCATTCTTTCTCTCCCACTCACTTGGACTTGTTCATTCTTTTATCTTGGTAGCCGTAGGAGCTGTGTAAAGGTGCGGGAATGAAGCTGAAGCGCGGACTCTTCCTCCTCCGTTCATCATTTTCTCCATTCGTTTTCTCCTTTCTCCTTCCCGGAAGCTTGGAACTTCTCCTCTGAGGTAAGGGAAGCTAGATTCTCGCTATTTTTGGCTGTAACTGAGTCTAGAAACTCATTTGTTGTTGGATAATTGACAGTTTTTGGCTGAAATTGCTGAAGTTGGGGTTTCGGGATTTTCCGGGGTTTGGTGAAAATTTGGTGATCTTTCCTTGTTTGCGGTTGCATGTTGAAAAAGTTGGTATTTTTGGGTTGTATGATGAAAATGTGATGTTTTGGACCGATTGCATGTGCCTGGGGTGTTGATTTTGCAGGTTTTGGGTGAAATTTTCGAACTGGGGAGGGTTCCTGTTTGAATTTGAGCCGGGCGCAGTTCTTCGCGTCGGGCGTGAGTTCAAAGGGGAATCCGTGGGTGAAACGCGCCGGGCTCGGGGAGAACCACGCGGGGCGCAATAGACCCCTGAAAGTCTCTGGTTGAGAATTGCGCCGGGCGCGCATTTGATTTTCAGAATTTGACTTTAGAGTATTCATTAAAGTTGTAGCCTTGGATGTTAGCTTTCCAATGGCGCTGGAATCACTCAAAAAGGAGTTTTAGAACTCCAGATATGGCCGTTTTAGTGAAGAGGGGTTAAACTGCCAGCATTACTTATAGCTGTTGCGGTTTTTATCAATTTTAACAAGGTAGATGAAGGAATTAGGACTTGGTGTCTTCAAGAGAGTTGTATTAAATCTTCTTATCTTTCATATGAGATAGGGATGAGTGTAGTATGAGTAGTATAACTCCTAATGTGCTATTTTCTGTGAAGGTTGCCATTTCACATTTAGTGATTTGGTTAGGTTGAAAGTTGTTCTAAGTACTTAGGTTGATTGGTGTTGTTTGGGTGGGTAATTTGACAAGATAGATGAGTTA